GTGGTGGGCTCAGATTTGCCTGTAAGAGATCCTCCATCCTCCACACACAGCTGGTGGCTGGACAGGGAGGGGGAGCCCAAGGACTTGCCACTCCACACAGCATCCTTTTACTTGTATTTCCTTTGTAATTGTAGTAAAATACATTCAATATAAACTTTACCACCTTAATTTACTGTGTACTGAATGCCTATATCCTCACAAAATTCATAAGGTGAAGTCCCAGCCATATACATGAGGCATCTCCATGACTAGTTACTGTCTCTATAGAAAGAGAGAGGCTGGAGCAGGAGGATTGCTGCAAGTTCAAGGCCAGGCTGGCTTATACAGTTTGTACCAGGGACAATAGCAAGACTCTACCTAAAAACCAAGATGGCTGATTAGGGCTGTCTCAGCCTGAGCATCATCTGTGGTTAACACAGACTGGCAAAAGTATTGAGAATGAGTGACTGGAGTGCTTATCCCTAAGTGAGATATCTATGCCTCATCCTGAAAGGCTGTGGAACACTGAAGAAGAGGACCACAAAGAATGCAGAAAGTGGTGCCTTTGGATGTGACATGTTGTAGCCATGGACTCATAGCACAAGGCCTGGTCAAGAGTGAGCCTGTTGACATTCCAGCACAGATCTGGGAGAAGCACATGAAGCCCCACCCCTCCTGGAAGGACATCTGTTGGCAGTTAATGGTTGCAGAGGGAGGAGGGACATGCCATTTTCTTAAGTTGCCCATGGCCTGTATATAACCCCACAGCCATTCTCAAGCAAGCAATTCTAAACTCAGTGGGTTACATAAGAAGACTTGAAAATAGAAGGGGAACCTGGAAAGGAGAGGTTCAGCAAGAGTGGGAAGATGATAAGAGCGGATAATGGGGGCATAAATGACTAAAATAGATAAAATACATTTGTGAAATGGCAAAATATGAAAGATAAACTCATTAATTAAAAAAGGAAAGCCAGAGAATGTAGTGGCTCTTGCCTATAAACTCAGAATCAATAGGACTGCCATGAGCTCCAGGCTAGCCTTGGGTACCAAATGAGCTCTAGGCAAGCTCCTACTATCGACACTTGAGTCACCCTTACCCTTGACCACTGTGAATAATGCTGCATCAGAATGGCTGTGTAAAGATCTCATCAGGTTCTGACTAAAAGGTCTGGATGTGGGGGTTCAAGAGAGACAATGAGCCAGATTCCTGGGGAGTAAGGAGTTTATTGGAAAAGATTTTAATGCCATGGACAAGGAGGCAACAGCATGGTGTGGGCTTCCAAGAGAATTCAGACCGCAGCAATGGAGACAGACATCATGGTGGAGTGTAAGGAGTAAGGTTTTTCCTCCCGCTGGTCTTGTCCCGCCGTTGTGCCTGCCCCAATTAACACACAGAGACTCTGTATTTGATATAATGCTGTTGGACAGGTACTAGTTTTTTATCAGCTAGCTCTGTCTTAATTATTAACCCATTTCTATTAATCTCCACATGGTCTTATCTTACCCGAGAGAGAGCCCACCGGCGTTCTGCTCTCTCTCTTTCATCTTGACTCCTCCTTCCTCCTTCCTCTTTCCTCCTTCTCCCCTAGTCCCACCTATCTTGCTTTCCTATTGGCCAACGGTGCTTTATTCATTAACCAGTATGAGAAACATATTTATAGAATGACATCTCCATCAGTGGAGTCCATGAAGAGTGGGATCAGAACCCCATGTGACTGAGATGGGGTCTGTTCTTACACATTTCCAAAGATGGGAGAGGTTTCACAGACGGAGCCTGCATGCAGGCTCTGATCCCAAGGTGGGGGCATATGGAGCAGGATACAGGATGCATGGCTCTGCTGTAAATCTGAGTCCCAGGAGAGAGATGGCCCTGGGAAGGCTGCTAGCTAAGGACTCACAGTGTCTGGTAGATGTCTGTTGGTACTGATGAAAGGGGAGGACCGCTGCAAAGCATTGTGGTTTGAGCAGCTGCTAGAGGCTGGATTCTAACAGTATACTTCACACGCAGCTTCAGTTCCTTTAGTCTATGCCCAGGAGCTGAAGCGCTGGACCGAGTGGTCTGCTCTGTTTATTATTTGAGGCAGAGCCACATGACCGCTGTTAGCACAGGCAGACTCTGCCTTCTCCACTCCTGCACCAACAGGCTACACAGGTACTTCCCTTTCTCCCCTCATCTGTCCTCTTTCTAGCAAGCTTGGAACCACTCTGGTTACAAATCCCAGCAGCTTGAGACGTGTCCCCTCTCGAGACAGGTCTTAGCATGGCCCAGGAACTCATGACCCCCTGCTTCCTCCTCCTGCTTTACAGGCATGCACCACCGCATGGCTTTTCATGCAAAGTAAATTCCCCTGTGGTGTGTGGGGTGGTGGTGTGATTTTGTTTTCTTAATGATGTTAAGCATCATGCCCATCGCTTTACATTCTTTGCTTATTTTTTAAAAAATATTTATTTATTTTATTCGTGTGAAGAGGGAATCAGATCTCATTATAGATGGTTGTGAGCTACCCTGTGGTTGCTGGGAGTTGAACTCAGGATCTCTGGAAGAGCAGTCAGTGCCCTTAACTACTGAGCCATTTCTTCAGCCTTCTTTGCTCATTCTTAAACTGGGGTTTGTTATTGTTTCTCAGCTGCATCCAGGAGTGATTTCTGTTGCTGTCATTGGTTGTTTTGTTGTTGCTGTTGAGACACGGCCTTGCTATGTAGCCTAGGTTGGCCTTGAAGCTCAGCCCTAAAGTAATTTTGATGGAAGGTAATGTGAGAAACCATTGGATCAGAGGACGACTTCCTCCTGTGGGGCGGTCCTGACCCACTTTGCATCTCAGTCCAGCAGCTTCCAGCATATATTCTCTGCCCAGCCAAGCTTTTCTTTACATTTATTTATGTAGCTCATGCATTGGGGGTGGTGTAGCAATGCGTGTGCCATGGCACAGGTATGTATAGGTGAAAAGACAACTTACAGGAGTATGTTCTCTCCTTCTACCATGTGAGTTCAGGGTTCAAACTCAAGCCCTCAAGCTTGGCTGCAAGCTCCACACACCCTGCTCTAGGCTTTTGTACAATCTGGACTAAAGCTGAAGCCAGACACTTAGTAGCCAGAAGTGATCCTGTGGGGACTCTGCTGTGGAGACACATGACCCAGGCTTGCCTGGAGCGCATTCTTCCATCTCCTGGAACCAGGGGTCAGCTCAAGGAGGGGCTAAGCCCATCAGACCTTGATAAATGCATCTGCTTGACTTGACAAGCTGGCATGGAAGCATGGGTGACTGGTGGCCTCTGCCATGACAGCGAAGTCTGTCTGCAGAAAAACATGAAAGGCGTCACTCAGACAGAAGGCAAATCAAGAGGAAGTGAAGACAGAATGATGTGATCACTGGTGTCCCTATCCAGCCATACCTGAAAGCCGACACCCCTGGGTGTAAGTTAAGAGCAGGTCTCTCTTCCTTCTCTCTTTCCTTCCCTCCTCGTCCTTTTTTCACACACTGGTTTGAACCAGTTTCTGTCCCTGGCAACAGAAAACTTGGGGCGAATGTATATCTTCCTCCTTAGCTCTCTACCTGTCCGTTTGTCCATCCACCCCCCACCCATGGGGTCATCTTCTTGCCCTTCCACTTTCAACCCCACTCAGCTCCAACTTGTCCTCTTCTCTCTCACACCCTCTTGAAGAATGGCCCCTCTAGAGACACACAAGACAGAGCAGGGGGTCTGTTTTCCCATGTCCTCATTCCCGCAGCTCCTGCTTTTGACATCACTCTGCCGGAACCTTGAGTGACTGGGTGAGTTTAAGAGAATGGGAATCCTTTGCTAGTTGTATGAGCTGTCAGGGGGACAGCCAGAAGCCCCTTTCCTGCCCAGGCCCCAGCATCCCCTTCCACCCACGCCTTCAGGCTGCGGAGGCAGAGGTTAAGCAGGCAGAAGCTGAGCAGGCAGAGGAATATGTGATCCCCAGAGGCTTTCAGAGGGAGGGTGGGAAAAGGTGAATAGCCAGGGACAATTGACCTGGTGTCTGGGTAGTTTGGTGTGGCTTTTTTTCCCCCTTTTGCAGCTGTGTTCTCCCTGGAGGGTTTTCACACATGGCTCAGGAAGAGGAAGCCGCCTCCAGGTGTCATAAAGTGTCAAATAGTCCCTTGGGAGGCAGGGGTGTTGGTGAGTCAGTCTGGGGTCAGGATGTGGGGGGGGGCTGTGTCTTTGAAGGGAACCAGTGTCTTGGGCCATGCTCTAGGGTGTGGCTCTACCTTGAACAGTGGTGGTGGTAGGAGTCTTCCCCAAGGATCACAAGGCCAATCCTTGTAAGACATTCAGAGTATAGGCCCGTGGCCCATTTCAGAGATGAGGAGGGTGGATACAAAGCCCCTGAGTCCTGCAGCAGCCCAGGCTGGCCTCCGATAAGATATGTGTCTGCCTCTGCCTCCCTAGCACTGGTATTGCATGCCCAAACCACCAGGGTTGGCAGAGTCCTCCACGATTCCAGTCTTCATGGGCTGAGATTGGAGCCTTTGCTAAAGAACTTGGGAGTTGGTGGGGGGGGGACTTGCTTTCCAGGCATGGCTTTATTATAGCTTGTTTTGCTTGTGCTTCAATGGTATGGTTTCACTTTTTTAAATCAGGTAGGAGGCTGGAGAGATGGCTCATGGGCAGGAATGAGTGCTGTATTAGCACCAGGACCTGAGTTCGGATCCCAGTACCTAAATAAAAATCTTGATGTGACCATGCTTCATGGGGACAGAGACAGGCAGATTGTTGGGCCTTGCTGGACACCAGCTTCACTCCATGTTTAGTGAAAGACCCTGTCTCAGGAGAACGAGACAGAGAGTGATAGAGCAGGTGACACACGTACACACAAGCCACACTACACTGCACATACACAGATCTCACACACACACACACACACACACACACACACACACACACACACACACACTGTTGTGAGGGCTGGAGAGATGGCTCAGCAGTTAAGAGCACTGGGTACTTGGGTCCCCAGCTGTGGGAACCCACACAATTTGCCATTACAAGATGGTGCTGAAGACTGTTGTAAACAGCCTCATTTTGGCACGTGCCCTCCTCGAGTCTGCCTGGCAACAGCTATGCACCAATCCCAGACTGACTGGTGTCCTTTCAGGAAGGAACGCCCATCCTGCCTAGATACAAGCCGCTCCCTTTCTTGCTTGCTTGACCCTCACCTCCAGCTCTCCCTCAATCAAGAAGTGCTTCAATAAAGTGTGATCAGAGAAGGATCCTCGTGTCAGTGGTCTTCTTCCCCTGAGGGTCAGGGGCGCGCCACAGCTGGTGCGGAAACCCGGGAACTGCTTTCAGCGGACACTAGTGAGGGGCCGAAGAGGATCCAGAACTCTACACACGAAGCGGCGACGTCGGTAAGTCCTCTCAGGTATGTTGATCGGCGGGGTTAATCCTGGTGTGTACGCTCTAATTTTTCAGAGACGGCAGAAATATGGATCTGATTAAGCAAGGACGTAGAGCGTTAGCTGAGCATCATCAGGACAGCCTATCTGAAGCCGAGTCACTAGGAGAGGGGAAAGAAAGGCCTAAAAATAATAAGGATAAAAAGGAAAAGAAGAAAACTATATCCAAGAAGGATAGTAAAAGTGAAGAGTGGAATACAACAAAAAACCCTTTGTATCCAGTACTGGATGCATTTGCTAATTTAGAACTTTCAGAAAATGAAGAAACAGATAAAGAGGAACTAACTGGGCAGGAGGAGGAGGAAGAGTATGAGGAAGAAAGATATGAACAGCGGCCAGGACAGACTTTTGCCAAGTCAAGTGCGGGACCTATGGCGCCTTCGGCTCCGCACTCTGTCTTGGCTCCACCCCCTTATCTCCCTGTTGCTGGGGAATTTTAATTGGCTACGGGGGTATTTGTCTATCCCTCGTCATGAGCTTCAGCCTCTGTTTTCCATATTAGAAGGTAATCCAGACATTAACTCTCCCAGGTCGCTCACCCCCCAGGGTGAGCCTGCAATTCGTAAGGTTGAGATAGCTATTAGAAAGACAAGTTTAGACAGATTAGATCCAAAAAAACCTTTAAAGTTATGCATTTTAAAAACAAAGACTTATCCAACAGGTGTATTGTGGCAAGATGGTCCTCTTTGGTGGCTTCATGGTCACTCACTTGGAGCAAAGACAGTACAACATTATCCTACTTTGGTGGCTGTCCAAGCATTGATGGGGTTGAAATTTAGCCTCACACATTTTGCAAAAAATCCAGATGTTTTAATTGTCCCCTATACTAGGCAACAGGTTGAAGTACTTGCAGGAATAATAGATGATTGGGCAATTTTAATGTGTGCCTTTTCTGGTATAATAGATAATCATTATTCTAAGAGTGATTTATTATTATTTGTTAATAAAGATTTAGTTTATTTTCCTAAAATAACCTCCACTACGCCCTTGGTGACTGCCATTACTATATTCTCTGATGGGTCAAAAACAGGCAATGGGGCTTATGCGGTCCAGGGGCAAGAACCCGTGATTCATAGTTTTCGCCCCAATGCACCTCAGGTGGTGGAATGTCAAATGGTTTTAAAGGTTTTTGAAAGATTTGATGAACCTTTTAACTTGTTCTCAGATTCATTATATGTGGTTAATGCGATTGCCAATTTGGAGGTTGCTGCTAATATTCGTTCATCGAGTATGGTAGCACCTATTTTGGTACAAATTCAAAATTGTATTTTAAATAGAAAACATCCCTTTTATATAGGTCACATTCGGGCCCATTCTTTACTTCTGGGACCAATGACAGCCATGAATGATTTAGTGGACAGGGCAACACGGTCCGCAATTATGACCGCATTGGATCCTTTGGAATCCGCAAAACAATTTCATCGCTTATACCATGTTCCCGCTAATACCTTAAGGTTAAAGTTTCATATTTCTCGGAGCACGGCAAGAGATATAGTGAAGAATTGCATGTCATGTGTTCCTTTTCATCATCCGCCGCATATTGGCGTAAATACTAAGGGCCTAAAACCACTATCCCTATGGCAAATGGATGTTACACATGTACCTGAATTTGGAAAATCTAAATATCTCCATGTGTCAGTAGACACATGTTCGGGCATTATACATGCCACGCCATTATCAGGAGAGAAGGTTTCTCATGTGAAAACCCACTGCCTTGAAGCCTGGGCAGCATGGGGCAAGCCACACAGAATAAAAACGGACAATGGTCCAGCTTACACCTCTCGTGGCTTCCAAGAGTTCTGTGCTCGCCGTGAAGTTTCTCATACCCTGGGACTGCCATATAACCCCCAGGGGCAAGGTGTCGTTGAGAGAGCCAACAGGACAATTAAGGAATTGCTACAAAAACAAAAAGGGGGAATAGCAGAACATGCTACCCCATGAGAAAGAATATCCTTAGTCCTCTTTACACTTAATTTTTTGATTTTGAATGACTCAAATCAGACTGCTGCTGATAGACATGCACAATCAGTCTCGGTTCCACAAGCACAGGTTATGTGGAAAGATGTATTGGATAACAAATGGTATGGACCGGATCCTGTTATTCAGAGATCCAGGGGATCTGTTTGTGTTTTTCCGCAGGACCGTACGGATCCAATTTGGGTTCCGGAGATGCTGATTCGAAAAATCGACAATCAAGAGGAGAAGGATGTCAGCACTGACGATATTCTGGAGGAAAAGGATGATGCTGTGGTTACTAATCCATCTGACCCATGCCAATGAAGAATATTTTTGGTCATTTACCCGAACATGGCCAATACCTGTGCCTGTACATAATGTATCCTCAACCTTCCCTCAGTTCTATTCTACCCTTTGCCATTTTGGGGTCCCCTGCAAAGCGAAAGACAAAGTTAATAAGGAACAACAGGCATTTAATCAATCTCGAGTGCCCCTGCAAGGAACGCTCTGTTTTTCTAAAGATACCAATGCGTCCCCTTGTGTCCTTGTGCAAAGACAGGTGCTGTCAGCATTTGAAGACCCATTAAGATCCTTGACCCTAGATTTAGAGGTAAAGATGTTGCATGAAGCATTGTCTCAAATAGCATCAGGCGCTTTGAGTGGCTCAGGTACCGGAACTAATGGCAGCCCGGTGATTAATGTCACTACATATTGGATGAATATGACTTTTATTGCCCCAAAAATTAGTAGGCATAATAGCTATGGGTCATACAACGGATCTAAGCCCACACATCTTTGTCCCAATGTGTTTTCTGAATATCCGCCTGAATTTCTTGATTGTAGAGGAAAATATGATAAAATAGTTCCCATCTCATCGGGACTTTGGTTTACGCCAGATTTGATGAGGTATCAATATAAGAATAATTCCACAAAAACGGGTTGGCCCTTATCATCCTGGATCCTCATTAATTCCAAGGGTGCTGCTTGTGACCTCTCGCCATTAGTTAATCTAGAGGATAGTAAAGTGGAACTTTACAATGTAACTGGAAGCCTGAACACCACCAACAAGAAGCTTACAGTATCATGGGCACATAAACAACATAGTATTTCCTATCCCAGAGGCAGGGTATGTGTAGATCCACCATTTTTGTTTTTGCTTTTTAATTATTCTCAGGACTTGGTTGATTGTGAGAACCAGACTTGTGTCATCAGTCAATGCTGGGGTGCTGAATATTATAACTCAGCATTGGTTATGCGTCTGCCAATTTTTGTACCTATTCCTGTAAAGGCAGACCCAAACAATTTTCCTATAGCCACTCTGTTCAGACAAAAAAGGGACTTTGGTATTACAGCAGCCATAGTTACGGCTATAGCCGTCTCTGCAGCCGCTGCGGTTACTGCCGGAGTAGCTATGGCAAATCAAGTACAGACCGTTCAACAAGTTAATGAGGTGATACAAAAAACTTCTAGTGCTCTTTATGTTCAAGAGAAGGTAAATACTCACTTGGCTTCAGGAATACTTATGCTCAATAAGAGCATAGACTTATTGGAAGGGAACATACAAGATCTTTTTGATATTATGACAGTGAGTTGTGTGGATAGAACCCCGCACATTTGCATTACACCCTATCCTGCTTCCATTAATGAGTCTAGACAACTATCTCGCATTTTGAGTGGAAATTGGTCTATAGAGTTTGAGCAGCTTCAAGCTAATTTTACCTATCACATTCAAATGCTTAATGATTCTAAGGTAGAATTAGTCACCTTGGGACAATTTTCAGATTGGATGGTGAAGACATTTTCCTATTTTAAGGAATGGATCGGAGTCGGTATGTTCGGCATGTTTTGCCTGGCAGGCATGGCTTTAGTCCTGTTCCTGATCTGTAGGATGCGATTCGTCAGAAAAAGGGAAAAGGTTGCCATTGCTCGAGCCTTGACAGCCCTGGAGGCCGGCCAATCTCCCCAAGCTTGGATCAGTATTTTTCAAGATCTCTAGTCTAGTGCCCATGCACCCGGAGGCCTTGTTGCCATTGTACCCAGTGGGACTAGATGGCCGATGAAGTCTAGTGCCTATGCACCCGGAGGCCTTGTTGCCATAGCACCCGGTAGGGCTAGATGGCTGTTGAAGCAGTCGGTCAGAGACTATTCCGGATAGTTTGCACCTGAGAGTGCACTGAGCCGATCCACTCAGGGGAACAAGATGTCGAGCATATAGGTTGCCCTCGTAATCGCCCTATCCCTGGAAAAAGAGCGGCGCACTCGACAGGGCGGCGTCCTCTGTTCCCAGCTATGACCGATGATGCGTCAATAAAATAAAAGGGGGAAGTGTGGGAACACACACAATTCGCCATTACAAGATGGCGCTGAAGACTGTTGTAAACAGCCTCATTTTGGCACGTGCCCTCCTCGAGTCTGCCTGGCAACAGCTATGCACCAATCCCAGACTGACTGGTGTCCTTTCAGGAAGGAACGCCCATCCTGCCTAGATATAAGCCGCTCCCTTCCTTGCTTGCGTGCCCCTCATCTCCAGCTCTCCCTCAACCAAGAAGTGTTTCAATAAAGTGTGATCAGAGAAGGATCCTCGTGTCGGTGGTCTTCTTCCCCTACGGGTCAGGGGCGCGCCACACCCAGCACCTATAACCACTTCCATTTCCAGGGGGACATGACACCCTCTTCTGGCCTACAAGGGCTACACACACATGTAGTGCACATACATACATGCAGGCAAACACTCATATGTATAAATCTTTAAAACTGTGTGTGTGTGAGAGAGAGGGAGAGAGAACAAGCGAGCGAGAGAATGTCTGTGTATGTGTGTGTGTGAAAGAGAGAGAGGGAGAGAGAGCAAGCGAGCGAGAGAATGTCTGTGCATGTGTGTGCGTGAAAGAGAGAGAGGAAGAGAGAGCAAGCGAGCAAGAGAATGTCTGTGCATGTGTGTGCGTGAGAGAGAGAGCAAGCGAGCGAGAGAGAATGTCTGTGCATGTGTGTGCGTGAAAGAGAGAGAGGGAGAGAGAGCAAGCGAGCGAGAGAATGTCTGTGCATGTGTGTGCGTGAGAGAGAGAGAGCAAGCGAGCGAGAGAGAATGTCTGTGCATGTGTGTGCGTGAGAGAGAGAGCAAGCAAGCGAGAGAGAATGTCTGTGCATGTGTGTGCGTGAGAGAGAGAGAGCAAGCGAGCGAGAGAGAATGTCTGTGCATGTGTGTGCGTGAGAGAGAGAGAGGGAGAGAGAGCAAGCGAGCGAGAGAGAATGTCTGTGTATGTGTGTGTGTGAAAGAGAGAGAGGGAGAGAGAGAGCAAGCGAGTGAGAGAATGTCTGTGCATGTGTGTGCGTGAGAGAGAGAGCAAGCGAGCGAGAGAGAATGTCTGTGCATGTATGTGCGTGAGAGAGAGAGCAAGCGAGCGAGAGAGAATGTCTGTGCGTGCGTGTGTCTGTGCATGCGTGAGTGTGTGTGTGAAGCCAGGAGAGGACAAGTGCCCTGCTATCACTTCCCCGTGTTTCCTTGAGACCGGGTCTCTCATTAACCAGGACCTAAGCTGACAGCCAGAAAACCAGTCGCTCTCCTGTATCCACACCCTCCGCAGTGCTGGGTTACAGAGTCCACACCCATGATCGACTTCTTATGTGGCTGCTGGGATCCAAACTTAGCTCTTAGCTTGCACACTAAGTGCTCTTATCCATTGTCATCTTTCCACGAGCCCTGTCACTTAAATGTTAAGAGCTCTCTGGGGGCACAGTGGGGCAGGTAGCCATGTATCTGTCCTTTCTCCTATCCTAACTTTTTTCTTTCTTCCTTGTTTCCTCTTCTTCCCTCTCTCCCTCCTTCCTCCTCCCATTTTTGGACATGATGTCATTTTCAGGGTGAGCTTAGACCTCCAATGAATCCATTGATAGACAACCTAAACTAGTACTTTTTTTTCCTTCCATTCAATTTTTTTCTTTAAGCTCTATCAGAAATTGTAGTTAAACACATTAGAGAAGACAAATAATTTTGTGTAGCACGAATAATAAAAACCCAGAGACAGATATTGGAGTTAAAGCTGAAGATCAGAGAAGCAAAGAGTTCTCACCTCTAACGATGCTCAAGGGGAGATCCTGTCCTCAGACTGCATCCGTCTCCACCAAACCTCAGACTGGCCTGAGCTCCTGTCTCCTCCCTCCTTATATTCCTTATATTCCTTATATTAAAGGTGTGGGGTCCCAAGTGTTGAGATCACCTTTGTATGAGCTCTGCTTCTTTTAGACTGGACCAATTTTGTGCAGCTCAGGGTGGCCTTGAACTAAGAGATCTGTCTGCCTCTGTCTCCAGAGTGCTGGGATTAAAGGTGTGTGCCACCACTGCCTGACCACTATGGCTCGCTAGTGTGGCTAGCTTTGCACTCTAATCTTCAGGAAAGCTTTATTTGTTAGAAAATAAACAAAATACCACCACACCTTTGCAGTGCTTTTTAAAAGTAGTTGTCAAATTTCTTTCTAAAGATCCTGAGAGCCAATTTCAAGAACCCAAAATAAATTTCTCATGCTGCCTTAAGATACAGCAGGGCTGCAGAAGTTTCCAGGGTGTCTCTCCAGCTTTCAGAAGGTTCCAGTGTCAGCAGGGCAGCAGAAGTTGCCAGGGTGTCTCTTCAGCTTCCGGAAGGCTCCTGTGTCAGTGTTTCTGGAAGGTTCTAATCAGCAGCTCTATTTTTGTGGGTGACTGGGGCAGCAGGAAGGCTCTGCGGCTGGGTGGCTGATAAGGTTATCTGGGGACTGTTTCTGGCAGTTCAAGTGCCTGTTGTACAACTTGGGGCTGGGGAAGTCAGATGGCTTGTGGGAGTTGGGGGGGGGGTTGGGGAGGGTGCTTCACTGGCTCAGAGCTTGCTTTTCAGCAAGAGGAACAGAACTGAAGGTTGTCAGCCATTGTCTGGAAGCTCCTCATCTCTACCATCCCAAGGCCTCTGCTTTAGCCTATTGGGTATAGGTGGAGATGGCTGTGGCTATGACTGTCCTGGGATGGTGGGTACTTCTGTGCAATCTAGCTGGGCCCACCAGGAGCCAGTGGGGAGAGGAGAGCTGGGTGCAGCCTAGGCATAGCATAGAACCAAGAAGAGATTGCAGTGGAATCAGGGCCCAGCCTGCAGACAGGCAGGGCAGGCACCACACCCACCACACAACCTCTGCAGATTCTGGGCCTTCTAGGCAGACAGGACTCGTGGAAGGGAACACGCTTCCCCACAATAGCTAGCCCTCAGGCTCACACATGATTTCAGGCAGAGGCAACCAAACCAGTGGAGGCTGGTGTGGAATCTACCCAGAGGAAGTCCCACCACCTCCTGCCCAGGACCTGACCAGGGCTTGTTTCGCTTCCTCTGGGCTGGGAGGCTGTGTGGGGACCCGAGGTGAGAAAAGCCTGCACTTGGCCCCTCAGAACAGAGGGACAAAGCAGAAACCACTTCCAGAGAGGGTGGATCTGGGATGTCAGAAAGCAGGTTTGGGGACTTCTCAAGTAGGCAGATTCAGGATGCCTTTCCCTCTTCATATCACACAGCCAGAAGGCTCCTTCATCACCATCATCACATTTCCTCTCCCCTCAGGAAGAGGGAGGAGAGGGGGCGAGGAACAAAGGTAGCCTTTTTTCCAGCCAAGCGCTGAGCACACTTTAGAGAAGAACCTCTTCCTCAGAGCCCTTGTCCCGTATTTCACTGGCTGGGCGAGGGCCTGGCGCTTCTAATAGAGAAATGAGAATTGTAGACAAGCAAGTTTGCATCAGAGTGCCAACAGGTCCTGGAGCACGGCTGGCAGGCAGTCTGCCGCACAATCCTCCCCTTGCAAGTCAGCACTAGCCCAGGCTGCTCTCTAATGAGCAGAGAACACAGGGCCTCCCAAGGCTGGTTCTGCTACCCCAAGCAGGCTATATGGCAGCCCCGCCCCCCAGAGACATCCCCAGGTCCTAGACATGAGGAGGCCAGCTGTGTGCTCCAACATCCTTGGTCACAAGTAAAAACTGCCATGGCAGCTTCCACTAGGGAAGAGCAGACAGGAGAGCACCATGCTGCTCAAGGCTGGCCAGGAAGGAGTGGCTCCCGCAAAGCATCCAGGCCCTGCTCAGCTCCAGGAGGACCCATGCAGCCATTGCCTGTGTGTGGAGTTGGCCCTGCCCTCTGGGAGTTCCTCCAGGGTGGTCCCCCTCCCCCGCTTTCTCTTTCTCTCTGTGTTGCAGATGGAACTCAATGTGGTCTTTTGCCACACCCCTAGAGCCACATGTGTGTTATTTGTGTGTGTTATTTTCTGTGGTCACCTATGAAAGGCTGGGCCTTCTCTGGGGGCTACACAGCTTCCTATTGGTGTGACTTTGGGATCATTTGGGATCATGGAGGTCACTCCAAGTATTGGCTGACCTAGTTTGGAAATACATTCATAAAAGATGTGTTTGAGCTTGCTTTTTCTTTTTTAACCATTTAGAGTGACCACAGGTAGAATTTCCCAGCCTAAGCCTCATACGCATGAAACAATTCCTGTCACTAGGTCCATCCCAAGCAGGCATGGTTCTTGACTGGAACAATGGATGTTGTGTGTGTCAAGATGAGTAAACAGAGTGAGTGCTTACTAAATGGAATTTTGGAAAGGATAAGTATAGTAGACTCCAAAAAGAGTCTCAAGGTCCAACATCAAACTTCATACTACATAGCCAGGCGATGGTGTCATGTGCCTTTAATCCCAGCACTTGGGGCGAGGGGTGTGAGGGACAGAGACAGGCAGATGTGTGTGAGTTTGAGGCCAGCCTCTACAAAGTGAGTCTCAGGACTGCCATGGCTACACAGAGAAACACTGTCTTGAAACTGCCCCCCCCCCAAAAAAAACCTTTCAATTCCACAGAATCACACCTGTCACTGTACATGGGCTCCCTGGAGCTTCCAGTTACTTCCATTGGCCCTGCTGCTAGCACCAGGTCCCTGGGGACTTGGAGTTTAACGCTGGGCCACGTCTGCTCCCTGGAGCCCTGTCCTGCACAGGTATCTCATGACCTGTTGGAGCCAGGTCACATGCTTGTGCCCTGTCTGCAAAGGAAGCCAGGAAGGACGTTTTCTCAGTTCTGTTCCAGGGACGCAATGCTTTTCTAGCTGAGAGGTGCTTCCAACAGCACTGGAGTGCTTACCAGGCAGCTGGTGGACAGGTGGATGAAGACATTATTCTGCCAGGGCTGTCAGTTCCAAGCTCTACAGTGTCTCAGCTGTGGAGGCTGGGCTAGAGACCCTGAGAGTTAGGTGCCTATTGTCCCAGGCTTTGGAGTCTTAGGGTTTTGGGAAAGGGAATGGAAAAGTATTGATCCACACTTTAACTATCAGCACCCAGCTATTGTAACCTTCTGGTAATGGTGAGTGACAGCAGTGTGTGGCATTGACTGGAGTTACAGCAAGAAGCTGTGGTTGGAGTCTAGTTTCTCAAGACATCCAACGACTGTTCAAAGCAGTTGGACCAGCACAAGGACGATTTGGCTGGCTCCACTGATGGTTTTACATTAAGGCAGCTGCCAATTAGGGAAGTAAAATCTTCCTAGTCCCCAACAGCTTATGTAAAGGAAAAGAAAACAT